GAACATCCTCCAAATGTTCCCTAAAAGCCCATAACTCATGGGATTGGTCAAGAGCCTTTGAATGCCATGATATCGCATAACTTGCCATAGTGCCCCACCTAGAGCCCACACTGACCCACTGTCACCCAGGCACCGGACCCTGCCTTAGGTGAAGATAAGGGTCCCTTTCCTGCTTTCCCGATCCACAGGATCAGTGACCCTTCCATACCCAGAACAGAGAGAAGGTCATGGAGCACTAGTGAAGATTCATGGGCAGGGGTGGCCTTCTGAGGGGTGTTCCGGCCTCGTGTCTCACCAACCACAGATGAGGCCGTTGCCGACCATTCCCACAGTCACGGCCTAAGTGAAATGATCGTGTGTGGATGGCAAGCTGGTCTTGAGGTGGTCAGGTCAGGGACTGTGGACACTCAAAGGGCAGATGGCCAACATGCCACATGGATATAGACCACTCCAAACGGTCACGCGGTCAGGTGTCCTGGCTGGGAAGCTCTGGCCTCAGGAAAACAATCTGGTTGTGTGAAGTGAGGAGCTGAGGGGAGAGGAAGCAACAGGGAACCTCAAAGAGCTGAAGCCCAGCCTGCCTCCAAAGCAAGGCTCAGGGATCAAGGACACCCATGAGCTGGAAGCCATAAATACCCAGGTTTCAAAGGAGGTTCAGCCCCAGGTTAATCACCCACTATAAAGGCAACTGCAGCCACAGAGGAGGGGCTGAGGGGAGTCTCCTCAAAAGGGAGCTGCCCCAAGGCCAGCCCTGCCCAGCCCTGCCTCCACCTGCTGGAGCAGAGGGAAGCATTGACTCCTATCTGTCTGAAGTCTGGCTGCGCCCCAGCAAGTCCCACCTGTCAGTTTCCTTCTCTGATATCATTAGAGGGTGGGTCCAAACAGCCTCCAATATTCCCACTCCACCACCAACATCAACACAGGATTTATGAGTTTGTGGAGCATTCAGAGATTCCAGGGAATTTGACTTTGGTCATCTGAAAACAATTTTTCAGGAGGGGTGAAAGCTTCCCGTGACAAGCAGGTGTTTTTTGAGCAGGTGCTTTTGTATGTACATAGATATATGAACACAAAGGACATGTGGGACAAAGAGACCTCCACATGCCACCCCCCACCGTGTGCCATGCAACCTTGGCCTATGCCACACATCCCCTCGCCCCCCTCTCACTCTACAGGTGCACACATGCCCTCACTTCCCCTCTCACACACGCTGCCCACACACACACTCCAAGGTGCCCTGCCACCTTCAATGTCCGTGACACACAGGAGCAGGGATACATACCACAACCCTCCCCTGGCCTTCCCACCCCAGCCTCATACGCACCATCTTCCTATGCCATCACACATGCACACGCACACACAGTCATGTATAACACACATGTCCAGACACAGATCCACCCCGTGGCTCTGGACTTGATCACAGGTGACTGATACCCAGTCAATGAGGCTGCAGCATAAAAGGTTATTTATTTGCTCTCACAACTGGGAGCATCAGGGATGTGTGTGACTTGCACCCTAACCAGATGAGAGGCTGGTCATCAGGATCCTGTCTTACTCAACCTAGCTGTTTTCCTCCATGTTGACCTCCTTTCCAGGCTGGCCACATCCATGCTGCAGGGAGGGTGCCTACCAAAGGAGCCCCTCATTCCTTCTGCTTCCAGCTGAAGTTCCAAGGCCCCTGTCCTTGGGCTGACAGGTCACATACTCATCTCTGAACCAACCCTGCACCAGGGGGCTCACAGACTACTGTCATTTTAACTAGACTAGGTCCTGTGCCAGGCCCCTGAGGAGTGGTGCTCAGCCCCACCCAGACTATATAAAAGGAAGGCAAAAAGGTGATTCACCACAAGAGGGGAAGAGATGCTGCACAGGATGGGCAAAAACAACAGCTGTCCACTATATGCACTAACCCAAATGTACACAAATAAAGACATGGAAACCCAGAGAGTTGCAGGGGCATAAAGATATTGGTGTACACAATGAACCCTTGTATAAATATAAATAGTAGCTGGCATAAGTCTACCTTCTGTGCCTTACCAAACACAATATTGATTTCAGATAAATAAAGGATTAAGACATAAGCTACAGGTCTTTGAAGAAAGGGAGAGCCCTTGAGAAAGATAAGCTAAGAAAAGTAAGGTATGAATGGAAAGATCTGGAAATGTGATGAGCCTCTGGACCAGCTCAGGATTACCAGGGAAGAGTGGAAAGGTTGATGGAGAGGAAAGTGGGATTGGGGGTTTCTAAGGCCAGATAGTTTATTCTGTAGGTCGAAGGGGCCAGAGGTGTGGGGCAGGTAGGTTGGATGGTAGGGCTAAAAACTGGAAGCAGGAAGTCAGGCCCATGGTGTATGCCTGTAATTCCAGCTACTGGGGAGGAAGACCGAAAGTCTGAAGCCAGCCTGGGCAATTTAGTGAGAACCTATATCAAAATAAAATAAAAAGGGCCAAGGAATGTAGCTCAATGGCAGACCACATTGTTGAGTATGCAATTTAGTATTCAATCCTCAATATCAAGGGGGGGGAAAAAATCTGGAAGCAGAATAGAAGAGTTTTCTTACAGAATGAGCGGGTGGGGCTATGGTATGGTAGAGCAAAAACCTGGAAAGAAAGGAAGGGAATCCCACTAAAACCAATAGGCGTGGCCATTGACTGCACAGGCTTGAGTCCAGGAGTGCTTCCTGCTAAACCCTAGCACCTTCTGCCTCAGCCAGGCTAATGCATGAACTTGCCATGAGCCACTGGGCTCACCCCCACCATCACGTTCATCCCAGCAATTTCAGACCACAGCTCCTTGGGGACAGGACAGGGCAGTTTCCTCCAGTGACTGACTGTTCCTCTCTCTGGGCCAGCCTGTCTAGCAGGGCACAAGCCAAGAGCAGATGCTGAAGAGTAATTGTGTGCATCCTCCCCTGAACCCACAGTCTACTCTGGCCTCCTTAATTTGGTTCTACTCGTGCCACCTCTCACTGTTCTCCAGCCACATCACAGTGGGCGTGAGTGGCCCCAGGCAGGTGGCAGTATGGGCCAGCCCATTTTCTCCCCTGCGGATCATGGATCACGCCATACTGGAGAACAGTGTTTGGCTTTTGTGTTTTCCTCAGGTGCTGGGGATTGTCAAACTCAGGACCTCATTTGTGAGGCACACCCCAGCCCCTGGGCTCCTGTCTAATTCTTGGGACTGACCAGGACAATTGAGAACTGAGACAAGGGGATATCTAGGACATAGAGGAGAATGGAAACTGTATTCCAGCAAGACATAGTGGTAGGAGCTGGGAACTCAAGTCCCAGGAACTCAGGTTCCTGCCATGTGTGGAAGCTGAGGACTGCCCCCAGGAAGTCCTCAGTGACTTCACCTGAGTGGCCAAAAGATACAACTAGAAGCAACAGGAAGGACTCCCCCAAAGAGAGACTTCTGCTCACTGTAAGCAAGACTTCCCAAAAGGGAACTCTATGAAAGTGGGTCCTCATCCACCGGGAAGCCTTGAAGAAGCGCTCAGACAGAAGGTCAAGAGGGCTCCGTCTCACCAGGGTTGTCAGAGCCATTTCCTCAGGGCCTACCATGTGCACTGAACTTCTGCTTGAATTAAGCTCATAAAGACCTGCCAGGGAAGATGGACAGTGTTGAGTTCACACACTGTGAAGGGAAGGACTGGGCCTGGCCAACTCCTCACTGGGGAATTGCCCAAGCCTGCTCTCCTATGTTCTCCTGCTCTGCAGCTCTGTGGGACGGAAACTCAGAGGGCAGTGAGTGCAATCTGAAGAACTGATTGTGTGTGTGTGTTTGTGTGTGTGTGTGTGTGTTTATTGGTTTTGGGTTTTTGTTTTGTTGGCTAGTTGGTTTTTGTTTGTTTGTTTGTTTGTTTGTTTGTTTTTTTAACAGGGTCTCACTAAGTTGCTGAGGTTGGCCTCCAACTTGCAATTCTCCTGCCTCAGCCTCTGGAGTCAAGGGGATTACAGGTGTGCACTATCACCACCCATGCCTGTCTGCAATCTGAAGAATTTGGGGGCCACTTCCTAACAGTATAAAGTCCAGCAAGTTACTTAACCTCTCTGAGATTCTTTCTTATCAGCTGAAATGTGGGTAACCACTGCCTCAGATGACTGATAGGGACCTAAGATGAGTGAATGGTCCCTGATAGTGGGTTTCAATTCTCTCCACTCTGTTCTCACCACCCTTCTCTGCTTGTCCCCTCCTGTGCTGCAGCCTTCTGTGCAGCTTCCCCATCCGGGCACCATCTCAGGACCACCCCCGCTCAACCTGTGTTCACACCTGCTTTTTTTTTTTTTAAGTTGGACACAATACCTTTATTTTATTTATTTATTTTTATGTGGTGCTGAGGATTGAACTCAGGGCCTTGCACATGCTATGCAAGTGCTCTACCGCTGAGCCACAGCCCCCACCCCACACCTGCTTTGACATATTTTCTTTGTGATGATCTTAAGACTTTGTGTTCCCCTAAATGAGACGGCCTCCTGGCAGGACTGACCAGTGTACCAGGCATCATCTTGGTGTCCTCTGCAGTGCCTGCCCAGCCGATTGCAGGTGGTCAGGGAGGAGAAAGCACTGGCTCAAAGGATTGAAGGAAGTAGAAGGAAGTGGCGATGGGGACCATCAGAAGGAGTCCTTAGGACAGATAATATACAAACCTCTGCCACCATGCAAAACAGATGCTTGCAAATTCAATTCCCAGGGAACCAGTAATGCAAACATTGTCCTACCTACTGACACCGAGTCTGCCCTACCTACTAACATTGAGTCCCTTCCCCAACTGACAGCCCAGGGCACCCTTCTCTGCTAGTGGTAGTAATAGTGGTAGTGACAGGGGTGGGAATCATGGTGGTGGTAATAGTGGTTCTCATTTATTGGGTTCCTACTGTCACTGAGTGGCAGAGGTTGGGGAGGAGGAGCTTTGAGGGTCTGAGGAGGACCTAAGAGAAGGGCCTCAACTCAGGATGACAGGATCCTTGACAGAACAGAATTTCAGCACACATCAGATATTGAGGCACAGAGATTTATTTAGGAAAACAAGGAATACACATTCTAGAGAGAATGAGGGTTATCCCAAGAATGAGATACACTTTTGGGCACTTGGTGAGAGGTGGACATGGGAAGGAATGTAGGGATGACCTCAGCCTACTGATCACAAGACAGTGTATGATGATCCGGGAGTTCTCAGGATCCTTCTCCCATTGACGTCTTTTCCATTATCTGATCAATAGAAAATGTTGGGAAAATACCCTATATTATAGTTTTTTTATCTTCCTTTGCTCAATCAACTTTAAAAATACATGTACTTGTGGGCTCATTAATAACACACAGGGCAATTTTTATAAGTGAGTAAATTTTCAGTAACTTTAAGGTTGTGAGTGAAAATTTGTAGATTTCTCAGAAATTTGGGAGTAACAGGCCTGGAAGAGAGAATAGGTTTGGGAGGAAAGCCTCTAAGTGTCATATCTCTTACAATATAACATTTATAATACTAAAATAACCCACAAGGAAGGTAACATTATTCCCATTTTGCAGATCAGGAAACTAAAACTCCAAGTCCTTTAGCTAGTGTGACAGAGTCAGGACTTAAACCCAAGCCTGGGTTTAATTCCAAAGCCCGAGCATGCTCATTTCAATTATACTGTCTTACAGATTCAGTGTCCAATTATATCCATTATGAGAAGCAATACTACTGATAACCTGAGAGAAATTGACCCAAAAACATTTTCTTATTTTATTTAGCAATTCAAAAAAATATAGATTATATAGATTTATATATAATTATATAATCTATATTTTTTTTAAATATCTTTTGAGCCTCTAAATCACCTCTCCTTTATTAGGCATCCGGGCAGACTTGGGGGACTCCTGAAAGCCACAGAGGAAATCTCCTTGAAGCCCTGGCCTTGACTATCTTGTTGACTGCATATCTATAGCATTAGAGAAGCACCTAGCGGCACTCCACAAATGCATGGTCAATGAATTCACAAATGACTGGCTGGGCCTGCTTCATCGTGTTTGTGTCTAAAAGAGATAACAAGACACTCAGAGAGACAAACAGAGCACAGCTCAAGTAAGGACAGTTGCTACCCATTAACCAACCTCCATCCCAGATTCCCTGCTATCAAAGGACTGAGATAACACCAAACCTAGAGCTGTGACGCATTCCCAGATTTTAGGGGAAATCTGTTGACTTGAATGATAGGATTGGGCTGGGTTTAGGCCAGTCCAGGCCAGTGTAGCCTCAGGGACCTGTTAGGCATGTTCCCATGGCAACTCAACTCACCATACATAGTTTCTACATTCCGGACAGAACTGTGGACTGTGGCCATCTGTTCCCCAAGGCCACACCCTACCCTTTCCCTCCTGGCCTGTCTGGTTTCCCAGGTGACCATCCAGAGAACACTAAGAGAAGCTGGAACAGCAGAAGAGGGAAAGCCCCACCAGGGAGAGGGCCCTTCCCCTCCAGGGCCAGCGTTCCTTACTCAAAGCTTTAGCAGTCAAGCTCCTCTTAGACACCTGGGCCCAGGGTGCCCACATCTCCCACATCTACCCACAGTAACCCCTACCTGCTGCGCCCCCATAATCTGACCCTATTGCATTTGGCCACCAGCTCCTCTACAAATTCTCTACCTATGCAATTAATTGGCCCAGAGACCCTCCTTCTCTCTACCCCTCCAGCCTGGCTTTCCTCCTTCAGGAAACCCTCTCAGACTGCTCTCCCAGCCTTCTCCTCTAGCACTCATTCTGGAGCCTCCAATTGAGCATCCCCAACTCTGGCAGGATCTCCCAGATCTGAATGTGGGTCCACTCACCCCCCATGGCCTAGGAGTTTCCTTAAGGAGGTAACTGCAGCTTTTAATCCTTACAGAAACAATGAAATAAGTATTATCTGCATTTTAGAGCTAAGGAACCTGAGCCTGATACTTAAAAACATAGCTTGTAGGGCTGGGGTGTTGCTCAGCAGTAGAGCCCTGGGTTGGATCCCCAGTATCGCAAAAACTAAACCAAAATAAAACATAGCTTGTGCTAGATCAGTAGCAAATGAGAGAGCTAGAACTGGACGTTGCCTGCCCTTCCTTACACCTCCCTTTCCCTGTCCTTCAGAGCTGGCACCACATGCAAGACACACCCTGCACCCTCTGCTCTTTATAACCCCCATTAAATCCTCACAAAACTATGAGGGAAGTACAAAATAGCCTCATCTTACAGATGAGGATATGGAAGCTCAGAAACTTTCTGTACATTTCTTAAGGTCACAGAGCACCTAAGTGCGGAGATCAGAAGTGAACCCAGCTCTCTGGCTCTAAGTGAAAAAAGTCAAGTTTCCCACCCCCTGGGTATATCCAGAAACAGGCTGAGCAATTCAGGAGACAGGAATGCAGATTCTCCAGCCCAGCACAGTCGGGCACAGACTTTGACTGATCAGCCAGCAGCTCTGATAAACGGACATGCCTTTCACGGGCCTGCAGGAGCCGCCTGGCTGATCTGGGGAGGCCCAGAAGCCCCAGGAGAGGTGAGCCAGGCCCAGCACCCTCCCCACTCATCCCTGAGTTGACACACCCTCAAATTCTTTCACTTCTGCAAATGCCTCCCAGCACCCCCAAAAGTCCTCTGGGATCTGTGATTAGAACCAAAAAGTTTTCTAAGATGTATAATTCAAAAAAAGATAAATATATTTTTTGGTTTGAGATTGTCCTAAACAATTCCCATGTTAATTGAGAATAGCAGGAAAATATCCCTTTGCATATTCTAGTCTCAATCTCTCAATTGCTGGTCACTTCTCTGACCTACAACTGCCTTATCTGTTTAATGAAGGGGAGGGACCATTTGCTCCTAAAATTATGTATTATTATGTTTTGAAATTATTGAAATGATTTTTATTATTACTTAAGTTTGAATTAATTTGGTTTTAGAACTTTTAAAGTCTTTGCAATGTAGTGAGAAAAGCATTCAACTTGACACCAAGTTTGATGTGCCTCTCAGCTTATGTTCTCCCCTAGATGAAGTTAATTACATGATGAAAGATGTTTAGGGCTGGGATTGTGACTCAGTGGTAGAGCGCTTGCCTAGCATGTGTAAGGCACTGAGTTCAATTCTCAGGACCACATATAAATAAATAAAATATGGGCTGGGGATGTGGCTCAAGCGGTAGCGCGCTTGCCTGGCATGTGTGCGGCCCCGGTTCGATCCTCAGCACCATATACAAACAAAGATGCTGTGTCTGCCGAGAACTAAAAAATAAATATTAAAAAAAAAATTTTCTCTCTCTCTCTCTCTCTCTAAAAAAAAATAAAATAAAAATAAATAAATAAATAAAATAAAGGTCCATTGACAACTAAAAAAAAAAAAGATGTTCTTTACACTCTTTTCCAAAATCTCCCCCTTCCTTCTGCTGTCCTTCCTACCTGCCCCTCCTCCCTACCACCCAGTTCAAAGGCTCCTGAGATGAAGCAGGGGCTCAGCTCCATGTTCGCTAGTTCCCTCCTACTGCAGTAACAGCCAGTGACCATTGCAGCATCCTTTCCTCCACAGACCAAAAGGCTAGACTGAAGGAAGGACTTACTAACCCAAGGAGTAATAGGAACAAAAATGAGGGACCTGAGAAAGATAAAGGAGCCAGCTAGGACTCTCCTTCCTGAGACCTACATAGTGTCAGGTCTGCCCAGAAGCCAAGAAACATGAGACTGGAGGTGGTAGACCTCCATGAGTCAAGGCCAGACATAACCTCCAGTAGAGGAAGCGCTAAGCAGATTTTTGAAATGGAACTCTCAACAGTCTGAATTCCTAGAAAAGTCTGAGCAAACCAGGCCAAGCCAGGCCAGGCAGACCAGGCCCGGGAGGAATGCGGCAGGGCAGGAGGTTTGTATGCACAGCCTCATGGAGAATGAGCCATCCTCTGGGATCATAAACCTTATCTCCCACCCACTCACCTCCAGAGAGCCAGGATAGCTATCTCTGGGTTCCAAGAGATTGATTCAGCTGAGTCAACACTGGGGGTTGCGGGGCACTGTGGGCCCTGCAGCATACCTGAGTCACTTCAGCATACCTGAGTCACTTCGTGATGGGTGCTCCATTCAGAAGTGAAATAGGAGAAAAGGAGACCTCTTAGGAAGAGGTGGGAACAAAGAGATGGGTCAGAATGATTCATCTACACAAAGGCTAAGGGCCTCAGATTGCTATCAGCCAGCCCCAAGCCAGAAATGTTCCCTCCTAGAGAAGTCAGGTACAGAGACTGGACAGCACTATCACTTCAATTATTCCTTTGTCACTGAGTTCTACAGTTTATTCACAGTTCTTAATGGGTTCTCTCTCTTCCAACATTAAATGCCTCTTTAGCTTTAAAAACTGCAGTTGAGCCAGGCATGGTGGCGCACACCTGTAATCCCAGCAGCTGTGGAGGCTGAGGTAGGAGGATTGCAAGTTCAAAGCCAGCCTCAGCAGTTTTGCAAGGCCCTAAGCAACTGAGAGAGACCCTGTTTCTAAATAAAATATAAAAAAGGGCTCAGGATGTGGCTCAGTGGTTAACTGCCCCTGGGTTCAATCCCCAGTTCCACCCCCCCCCCCCCC